TGAGTACCCTCATTTTGGCACAGTGTGACCCCCCCCCCCCCCCCCCCCCGCTCCGTCCTGTGCAATCCTCTGTCAGAAAAAAGATGGCCACTCGTACATTTACCCATAATTCTGGGCGTTCGAGGACCATACTTAATGTTGTTGGGGGAGGTTGGGGGACAAATATTGCAAAAATATGCCTTCCTTAGCTTGTGCCTATCGGACTGTGTTGAATTCCCATTGTATTGTGGTAAAATGTACAGCCTAGCCTCCATCTTTTTTCCTCCGGAGGACTGAAGCTCTGTACGATCTGTGTTAAAGCTCCGCCAACCATCCAGACTCGTGACACTTCTACCGTTTTACCGTTTACACTTTAACTAAAAATGTATGAAATCCTTCATCGAGCCAAATTTTCCTCGTTAGAGACTAAGAATGGTCAATTGGACCGATCTATGGCGAAAAAGGAAGTTTTGGAGAAAATTTGTGCTTTTCTTTAAGGCTTACCTTATTTTGAATCTGCCAATGCCTTTTACCAGGACTACTACATTTCTAGAGTTTTCCTTCCATATGGGAAGGCCGAGATGGGTAATTTAACTTGTTTAGTAAGTTTACAGTGGTGTGTTACTAAACCTTGTGGCTTACTCAAAGGGCCAGATAAGTTTTTATTGTCTGCCTGCTCACGGTTCGGATATACTCGGTAAACCAAAATCAGTCCGGCGGCGCACTCTATTTTGGAGAATTCTACGCGTATACTATCGCAAATGGTGCAATCTGATTGGCTGCGCTATCGTACACGTCATAATTTATCAATCGGATTTTAGTATAAGGTAAACTATCGCCTCAGAAATCGAGAACAAATAATCTCATTGTTTTAGTAGACTTCTAACTAAATTTTCTCTAAATAACGATTTTTAATTATTTCTCAACGTAGTATTAAACTTCACACCTCACACTCGCGCCGACTGGATCGTAATTTGATTTTAAACGCGCAGCTCATCAGTATTTCCAACAACTTCGAGTTTATAAAATCAAGAAACCGTAAATCTCCTTTATTTAGGTTTCTCAGTATTTAATTAGCTATTTATTAATTTAAAACTTTCCTCCGAAACGTCGATTGGAAAAACATGAAAACGTCTCTATATCGTAGACGAACACAACGAACTCACACTAATTAACAATTATTCCACGAGCGCGCGTTAAATATGAGTTGACTATCACCTTCTCATATCCAGCAAGCGCAAGTGGAATAATTTCTTTATTAAAAACGGCCCCAAAATATAGAGAACTAAAATAAAATAAAAATAAAATCGCCTCCAAAATTTACGCGTACCCTAACCATACTTGTAGAGCGTGTTATAATGGCTCATGTACCATGATGGCTAAACCAATGAAAACTCTTGAATTACATTATCCAATTTTCCAGTTTTTAATAAACAACAATAAGATTATGAGTTCGAGATTTCTATGAGGTGATAGTTGATGAGGCCGAAGGCGAAGTGAATTTGAAACCATTGTCTCTCCTTCTAAAAAGAAGAAGGAGAGACAACAGTTTCAAATAACTTTGCTAAACGGCGCCAGAATGACTTCAAAATCGGCACAAGAGACAAGTACGTGACATATTTGAGGTAGGAAAACATTATTTCAAATTAGATAGTTATTCACATAATTTTTTTACGATCGATGACTTTCCCATGCAATTCTCTATATACACAAGCTCTCCAATACACCACGTATGCAGAGTCGAATAAATCTTGGGAAGCCTTGGAACATCACATTTAAATCGCGCGGACTGAATTGTCGTTTGGAATTTCCTGTTGTGTACTCGCCCTTATCGGTTTTTTTCAACATTTTCTAAGTTTTTAAAGTCACGAAACCGTGAATGCCCTTCAGTTTAGTCTTTTCAGGAATTTAATTTTCCATTTGTATCTAAATGTCCTTCCCTAACTTCGTAAAATAGAGAAAACGTCGCTATTTTACAGATGACCTCCAGCCACTGCTTTCTAATGGCTGATAGTATATGAGTAGCTCAGCCAATCAGATTACACCATTTTCATTAGTATACTAGTAGAATATGTTAGACATGTGATGTTTTTTGGAGTTACGTTTGTAACAGGCGTGTGCAATTTATTCCACTGACGCAAGTTCCTGCTCGACCGTCTTCCTCTTTCGCAAAAAACTTTGTGATTGTAATTTTCCGTGAAGAATTCGTAACCTTTTTCTCCAATTTCCTTTTTTCCACATCCTTTTAAATGGTTTGCTGTTGTGATCGAGGCAAGATTTTGCAACGATTTTGTCCACGCTGCGAAATAACGCTCATCACCGGCCGCCATCTTGAATGCTGTGTTTACCCAACGTAGTTCACGTGACCGCAAAGCTAAAGAGATCTATTGGATTCAGTGCGTGTTTTAAATGGCTTCAAAACAGATGATAATGAATGCAATTCGTAAAACTATGTTGATCAAGTCGCCAGTCTATATTTCTTACTGGAAATCAGCAGATTTAGTTATCTTGAAAGCAAAACTGTTTGCGCGCGCAAATTCAGCGCGAGGAGAAATAACGTATTTCGAACGGATGAGGTAAATAATGGCATCTATTGTACCGTTTGACCAGTTGCGAGGTTGAAGCAGCTAGCGAGGTTGAAGTAGCTAGAGTTTTCAAAAGACGAAAAAAGCGCCATCATGTCAGTCGAAGTGTACATGACAAGAACAAGCGATTCAATTAACACGGAAACAGAGCGAAGGGTTAACGCCACTCAGGTGATAGTGAACGTAACGAAAAAAATTCGATCGACAAGAATCGCATTTGCGATAGAATATAAGCGTGAAAAAATGAGGTATTTCAAATTTACACACATTGTTGAAACGACGACTGGACCACCCATTGTGAACGAGAGCTACGCGTACCAGATAATCCCCACGAATAAAACCAAGGTAAGAAAAATATATTGCAAAAGTATTTTCGTGGCGAAGATAACCGATATTTTATACATTTTAATTTATCGAAATATTTTTACGCTGAACATTTCTCGGATTCTACTTTGCGCGTGCTGTATAAGAATTTGAGCTGGCTAGAGATAAGTTGCGGAAAAACGTCGATAATTCATTACCAGCTATCTATTTCTCGAGATGAGAAACTACAGATACCAGTGTACTGTAGACTGCGTTCAAAGAGCAACTGGCTTGTGTAGAGCGCAGTCGCATAGCAACTGGATTGTACAGAGCGCGGTCGCATAGGTAGTGCGGTTAACATTTCATATCTAGAGCACTATATTAAGGTTATATTAGGAAGGAAACAGGTCAATTAAGTGCCATGGTTCTAGAGTAGAGCTTCACGTCTGTCAATATCACAGGGATGTGTAAAACTCAAAGATATCAACCGAGGCAGAATAGATGATAGATAGTCCTTTAGAAAATCTTGAGGTGCAAACAAAACAAAAACTGATTCCAAGTATCCGTTAAGTGTGCTAACCTTTCGCATGACTTTCTTTTTTTAAAACCTGCCACTCGCTTCATACTACAATAACTTTTAAAGGGATGAGAGATCATCCCAGTTACGCACGCAACTTAAGCAGTTGCGAAAATAAGCATAAATAATGCAGAATGGAACAGGATTTGAACCCATGACCTTTGTATTACCGGTGCAGTGCTTTGCACCGGTGAAGGTATGAAAGAGAATAAATGTATAAGAAACATACATTTAAACTGCATAAGAAAGAAGGTCATAGTAGTTTTGTACACAAGGGTTTTTTATAGCTTCGCCATTTTCAGGCAGTAGTTAATTATAAATAATTTCATCCCAACTTCTATTTTAGGAAGAAGAGGAAAAAGAAGACGAAGCAGATGAGAAGCAAGGAGAGGAGGAGGAAGAAGAAGAGACGGAAGAAGAAGGAGGAGGAGAAGAAGAAGAAGAAGAAGAAGAACAAGAAGATGATGATGATGACGAGGATGATGATGATAACGATGTGGATGGTGGTTATTATGAAAATGAAGTGGAACACAAAGAAGACATTTTGACTGTCATAAGGAGTGTTCTGGCAAATCAAGAAGAGAAAATGGAAGAGCATGAGAAGAAAGAGAAGGATCACGATGATGATGACGAAGGAGGTGTTTATAATGATGACGATGACGGTGATGTTAACGTTGATGATGTTGGTGGAAAGGACGATGACGATAATGAAAGTGAACTGGAAGATAAAGAGGACATTTTATCTGTAATCAGGAGAGTTACTGCAATTCTTGAGGGTAGGAAGAAAGAGCAAGATGGCGGGGATGAAGAAGATGACGATGACGACGGCAGTGGTGCTGGTGACAGTGGAGATGATAATTACAGCAGTGGTGCTGGTGACAGTGGAGGTGATGATGATAGTGAGGACGATGGCGGTGATCATGATGGTGGTTGTTGTGATGACGATGACGAAGATGAGTGTGAAGTGGAACACGAAGAGGACATTTTAACTGTCATCAGAAGAGTTCTTGCAAATCAAGAAGAGAAAATGAAGGAGCATGAGGAGGAACAGAAGGAAAAGGACGATGACGATGCTAATGAAGAAGAAAAATGCGACGACGAAGATGATGATGAAGATGATGATAATGACGATAACGATGATAATGGTTATGAAGGGGACTGTGATAGTGACGGTGATGATGCTGACGACGAAGAAGAAGAACAAGACGAAAAACACGTGGAGATTAAAGAAGGGGAACTGAAAGATAAAGCGACGAAGGTTAAGGAAGAGGAAGTGGAAGAGGACAAGGAAACAGAAGAAAGACCGAAGGTCAAGGAAGGGGAACAGGAAGAGGACAAGAGAGAAGAAAACGAAGCGAAGCTTAAGGAATGTGAGGAGGAAGAGGGAGAGGAGATACTGCTAAAAGAACCACCAAAGATTAAGAAAACGCGTGGACGACGCAATATCATAGTAGGGTGGCTATGCAGCAAAATTATTAAGGCCTTTGTTAAAAAGAAGGTTCTTCTGTAACTTGACTTCAGTTTAAATCCAACCCAGTAGACTGTCTGTAATTATGTGTCGTGTAAAGCGGGTCCATTTTGCTGTCAAAAAGACTTTGTTATACAATTTAAAAATGACCTTGTATGGCCACTTTGGAACCAAACCAGTGGACGTTCTGAAGTCCACTCTTTTGTTATTACGATTAAATGTTATCAATTAAGTAGGTCATCGTAGAGAATAAATCAAGTTTTAAATGAAAGTAGTGTGTAACCTTTTTTCGTCTCGTAGCCTCTCCCTCTATTAAGTCCTTGGTCTAGTAAGAGCCTAGTTTAGAAATTAATATACGATCATTAATACCCTATGCGTACAATCAAACCGAAACCAGGATTTTGACTTCGCACAGGGCGTTGGGTGTTCGGCACCCACTGACCAAAAACACGTGAGCTCTGGGAACGAGATTGACGCGGTCGTCGATTTGAATACCAGCAATTTAAATGTCCCCCTAAACGTAGCTGTCCTTGCCCACTTGCACCAACAGGAGACAAAAGAAGACTATTCATTCTTTTCAATCCTGTATACCTGTTATGATCCTTGCGATCGTCTCCTCCTCCTAAGTAGAGGCGGGGAAGGTGGGGGGGGGGGGGGGGGGGGGGGGGGGGATTGGGCCCCCCTCCACCTTTGAAATTTCGCCTCAAAATTTATCTGGGAATAATTTGGTACGGCATTTCATTGGTCAAGTATGTTGATGTGTCCAGGGCAACCATATTGTAACAGGCGTGTTTTATCAAATTTGTAATTAAATGAAAACAACTTCATAGCCGGTGACTTGCAGTTAATTTTAACTTTTTGTCAGTTCTGAGTATTTTTCAGCCATATTTGGGTAGTTTTCGTAACGTTTTATAAAAATCATTATTTCTAAATGGCGGCTGATTTGAAACTACATCATATGGCGTTATCGTTTCCCGTTATACATCGCAAAAAGAACGCTTCTGGAAATGCAATGAATGGTCCAAGAATTACAGAGTGGAGACTTCAAGAACTCTCTCCTCTCCCCCCTCCCATGACCAAGTAGACTAAAAAAGGGTTAAGTTAACAAAAGCTGGCCTATTACAGTAAAACGTTTGTATTTTGGTGATTATACTTGGACCTACCTCAAAACCAGTAAATCATTACAAAGTCACATCAGTTGAAGATGAAAGCTCGTAAAGGAAACCCTATGTTCAGGATCCGGAGAGGGAAGCTTAGTATTCTACTGCGTTTCAAGACTGTTAAATAATACATGTACTCCGATTTAAACACAATCAATCTTTTGACAAACTTTGAGACATTCAGGTAAAACAACTCAAGGTGGGATTTGTTTTGGTTAATTTCCCAACTCCCCGGTTGCCGGGTTCTCTAATTTCTGCATTTTTCTGGCGCTAGTCTCTGAAGATTGATTCATTGTTCAATTACTTAATAGCAAAGATATCAGTGACGTCA